ACAGAGTCGTATGTCTCGTACATACAGGATGTCCTCGCGTTGTGCCGAAAAGTCGACGAGCAAATGACAAAGAGTGACAAGGTAGGCCACATACTTAAGGGCATCGCGGACGACGCCTTCAATTTGCTCATCTACAATAACGTCACAACCGTAGATACGACTATCAAGGAATGCCGTCGCTTCGAAATGACCAGAAGCCGCCGTGTTCTGCCTCAGTTTACGCGGCTACCAAACACGGCTGTTACATCCACTTGCACCGATCTCGGTGCCGCACCACCCATGCAGGACAGCGTGACACGAATAGTTCGACGGGAGCTTGAGGCGTCAAGTCCGGCACCATTTCCTCCACATCCGCTTAATCATGGCGCCGCAGAAACGCCTCCGCCGGTCTCCGTTATTCAAGCCGTCGTGAGGCAGGAAATTGCAAAGCTTGGTTTTCCTGTGGCCTGCTCTGTGTCCCGACCCGTCTCCAGACCAATGACAACAAATGCACCACATTTTATTCCGCGATCCTGCAATCCGGCGGAATGGAGAACTGCAGACGCTTCCGCTGCCACCGAGTTGGCCATATCTCCCGCTACTGCCACAGCACTTGGACGCCCTCAAACTGGAGTCAATTTTCCTCTAATCGACCGTACGAGGACTCCCGTCGGTATTCGCCCAGTCGTGTGTACCTTTCTTCCGACATCCCCAACAGCCGCTCCACTGCTCGTTCGCCGCCACCTCAACGTCGCCGTTCCCCATCGCCCCAACCACGCCGCTATCCGTCGCCGGTCAACTGTGGATCCTCTCGGACGGAAAACTAGATCATGCAGCTCCGGGAGGTAGTGCTGCATCGCTTGCGAATGATCCAAATCCTCCATTGACGCTCCCCACTGATACGAACTTGATTGAGGTGTATGTGGACGGTATTTCCTTGACGGCGTTAGTCGATACCGGAGCTCAAGTGTCTATAATGAGTGCTCATCTGTGTCGCCTGCTCAAAAAAGTCCTCACGCCTGCAGCAACTAAAGCCCTCCGTGTCGCTGATGGTGGAACTGTGGCCATCACTGGAATGTGTACCGCTCGTGTTAGTATTGCCGGCCGCCATGTTCCCATTTTATTTACGGTGCTTGAAAATTGCCCCCACGACCTAATCTTCGGCAAGGACTTCCTATCGACGCATTCTGCCCTCATCGATTGTGCCGCCGGTACTCTCTGCCTAGAACTTCCTCTTCTCTCGGATTCTGACCCTGAACTCCAGAACAGCTTGTGCACCACTGACTTCTTCCGGATACCGCCTAAAGCTCTCACATTCATCGAATTGGCAACACCCTCTCCCGTGCTTGACGGTGATTATATCGTGACGCCGATTACTGATGTTCTCCTGGCGCGTGACATTACTGTCCCACACTCTGTCGTAAGCATGGCCTCTAACCGAACATATTTACCTGTTATCAATTTCGGTTTCATAAAACAAGTGCTACCCCAAGGAATTTCGGTCGCCACACTAAGGCCCTTAATTGACGACCACGTCACCTGTTTTACGGCAGACGTATGTCCCGAGCACCCACATGACTCACAGGATGTCACGTGCCTCGATGCGACCTTACGCTCCATGATCGCCCCGGACCTCAACCCTGAGAAGTCAACCGCGCTATGCCGCCTTCTGGCTTCATACCGCGACATATTCGACGTCGACCACCGTCCACTCGGCCAGACTTCACTCGTCAAGCACCGCATTAACACAGGTGATTCTCATCCCATTCATCGGCGACCATACCGGGTGTCTGCCACCGAGCGTAAAATAATGCAACAAGAAGTCACCAAGATGTTAGCCAAAGGAATTATTGAACCCTCTTCGAGCCCATGGGCGTCCCCCGTTGTGCTCGTTAAAAAGAAAGATGGCACGTGGCGCTTCTGCGTGGATTACCGTCATCTGAATAGAATCACGAAAAAGGACGTTTACCCTTTACCCCGCACCTCCACCAAATATGTTACGGAAAAGAAGAGACGCCGTAACGACGAGGCTGGGGATTAGATATATTCCAAACCAGCGGTAATGGCGTGCCCGGTTCACCAGCGATCGAGCGGAGACAACCCTTCGTCTTCCTCGTCAGGCACACACGCGCGTCGCCCCCTAGAATATCAGTATACATGCATGTAGCATATTCTACTGTTTTACTGTTTTCAATGCATTAAATCAGCACAATGTTTTTCGTATACATTTGAGATGGTCGCCATATTAGCTGGGATGTTTGGCATGGAATGCCAGAGCTATACTCTGGGACTGTGACAATGAATGGAAGGCTACAGAAACAAAGCTGGCGTGTGCCACTGCTGAAGAGAGTATTCTCACAAATGCGTCTGTTTTCCACGTGAAGATAATAAAAACAATATAACTTTATTTTCTAAGGAATCCTGTACAGAAATGACACTGCACGAACCAATGAGATAATAATATTTGTTTTGATTCATGGATTGTCAGTTCACCGTTTTTGAACGTCTGAAAACGTTGCACGTTTTAGGTGCATCTCACAGTCAAATGGCGTCTTCGTCTAAAGGTGGGTGCTCGTCGTCCTCCAGCTATTCCGACGACTCGCCGAAGGAGCTTGTGTCACATTTCACTTACCAATAGCTCTGTAAGCATACGTAGCAAATTCTGTGCAGAGGTATTATTCCAACACGGCCGGCATTCAAAAGGCGACTGTAGCTGGACAAAGCGGACGAGTACATGTGTGGTAGCTTCGCCCCCGTAGCTTTTCCCTTCATTGTCACAGAAAGTTGTCCCCGAGTATATTTCACAGCCCCATAAGAAAACAGAAAAAATAAATGCAAAACAGAAAATGCCCACACCTCCACGAAGGGAACGTGAGGAAATATGCGAACGCATTGCGCAGCGTCCATAACGGCGTTTCACACGTGAGATGCCAGGGTAAGAAGAATTATGTTTACTTTTTTATTCTACACCGTGCAGCCAATAGCGCCTTTCGCTGCTCAAGTAGTTCGCCAGCTCTAGTGGCTAGCGTGCACGATTAAAGATACTATGAAGTGAACAAAACAAATAGCGTTCTCGGCTCGGCATTTCACAGCGGCGTCTCGAGCACACATTTCTGGGTCTTCTTGACAGGCGCCCAGTCAACGAACGGTCGAGAGTGAGGCGCGAGAGGACGGGAAAGTGGGGTGCAGAGAAGAGAGAGAGCGAACGGCAAGAGAAAGAGCGGTTATGCGCTGCACCTACTCTACCCTACACTCTCTCGTACCACATGCTCCGGTGGCTAGGGGCGAGGATAAGCGCGCCCGCCCGCAGCTGTTGCTACGAGAGAGAACGGTGGACGGATCCCAACGAACGCCTGGCATTAGCCTGACTAAGAAATGCATTCGCATTTAAAAGTAGGAGCAGCAGCAGCATCGCTTCAACAATAGATATACAGTACCTCACGGGTAGCGCACGACAACCACGCACACGTATTGTAGTTATGACTTGATACATATATAAACTGGAGATTGAAATGAAATTATTACACTGCGTACAAAAACAAACATAACGCGATTGTAATCGAGAAACAGAATATAAAGCACATAATACGCTTGAAATCAGCGATCAAAATTTAAGACAAAAAGTTCTTGTAAATAAAGAAGCGCGAGGGCGAGAGCAAGAATGTGTGGATGATGTGCATTCGCATGATCAGGAAAAGACACTCCTGATAAAACGAAGGTATCCCAAGATTGCAGCTGTTGTGCAAGCCGGCAGTGCGCTCAGCCACGCGCTCGCGTGGTGTAGGCAATACTGAGCGCGATAGTACAGTGCTCGGCTATTGAAACGTGAATCTCACAGCGCGTGGCTGCTCTCAGCGAGGGTGATGGAGAAAGGCGTTCGTGGGGCATGGTCACAGCATCCGGTTGGTAGTCTGTGGTTCATGTGACGCCGCCAGAGCACTGCTTGCTTAGGCTTGGTACACTGCTCTCATTTGCCACGACACGCTAAGCGCGTGCGCGGGTGGCGAAGATTCTTAGCGCTCCATCGACGACTCCAATAACCACAGGCTGAAAGGTGTCCACCGGATGCAGCCACCTCGCGTCATGAATGCGCACACCATCACTATTACCACGAGCACCCAGGCATTCTGAGGACCGGCCAGTAGAACTTGCAGCTGGGCGAGCTGGTTCCTACTTCAAGGTAAACTGGTGTGCGCAAATAAAGACTATGACAATATAAGTCATTTCAAAGTTCGCGCCGATCCCTGTCTGGTCTTTATGTATCCTTACCTTTAATTGTTCTCGCCCAGGTTACGTTGAAGTACCACGTTTCAGTTGTTTCCTTCCAGGGAACATCAGAGCGCATGAAGGTGGCTCAGGCTCGACCACGAGCTGGCGGCTGCAACAACTTAAGTGCCGGCACAGTGGACGCTGTCTTTCGCCAACCGCTTCCGCCTGCTCCATGGATCATGTCTCGCTTCCAATCACCACGAAGCAAACCGCCTTCTTGAAGATAGTGCACCGCGCAAGATTACCTGAGTGGATTTCGTGCTCAAGAGTTGTGCTGTCCACAATATTCTTATGCCCGCGTAGCCCTCGCCGATCAGTGTCCCGTATTCGAACTCTTCCGACTGTCTCTGCATCCTTCCTGTCCATTCTCTCTACCTTTTTGTTGCTCGTGCTGGGCCGAATGCTCTCACTCCTTCATCTATCAACTTTTCTTTTATCCCCTTCTCGCACCCCTTCAAAACCCTGCACCGTGATCTCTATATAGCGGCAGAAATTACGTGAGCCCGCCCCCCCCCCCCCCGCTTTCTTGCTTCTGACTACCACCACCAGCATGCACGGAGTGCGCTGCGCCTACGCAAAATCCTAAGTCATCATGATCACCCCCGCTGGCCGCGGTAGCACCAAGCGGCCACCGCGCGCTCCAATGTTCCCCTTAACAATGGAAAGCGGCGTACGTCTTTGTACCACGACTGACGCTGTTCTCACATTCCTTTTGCACGGCCACTTCTGTCAAAAATTGCAACAAAGATACCTTAGAGCTCGAAAAGAACCTTTATGACAATCACATACATTTGTTCTCGTGCACTACAGCATTGCTTATTCTTCGCACACAACTGCACCCAAGAGTACCACGACTCTTGACGAGTGTGTGCGGCGTAAAACATTTCACCGACTACCTGGCACGACAACTAAATGGCGGACGACGTTGAGCGTGCATTTTTTTAGAGCATTCTTCTTTTCAACAGCGATACGAGGAGCCGCACAAATCAGAAACAAAGGCGATCTCGGTGGGAGGAGAAGCGTTCACCAAGTATATCGTCGGTGTCAACGCATCCTAATAGTGAGCGCCCGGTTTCTCGGGATACAGGAAGTAGACAGTGACGGAGCCACACGAAGTCTGCACCTCCTCGCTGTGTCGAATCATGAACAGGGATCCCAGGCCATACGCCAGAGTTGGTATACCTGCACGATACTACACGTCATTCTCTGCATCTAGGCACACTACAAAACCAGTCTTTGATTAACTGCCACACCAAGTTACTTAGCGGACCATGATCTGAGCACAACAAATGAGTGCTGGGTTGCTTAAAGTGTTAAAGACGTTGAATCAAAAGAAGTTTGCAGAGTCGCAAGGCAAACAAAAAGTTCGGGAGCCATTTTGCTTTATTAAAGGAGCACTGACATCAAATTTCAAGATCGAGATGTGCCCATCATCAGATCACTTGTTATGCTTAGGTGATCTTGGCCAAATTTGAACGGCGTCGGTCGCGTCGAAGTTATTTTATTTTGAGGTTCAACAGCGTAAAAAGTGAAAGAGAAAAAATACATCAACACTACCCTATGTGTTCAGTGCGATACATTTCATAAATGCCATCCTGAGTGACGTACGCTAGTAACGATGACGCCGACGATCTCTGAGTGTGTTTGGAGCCAACTCCAAACCATGCTCTCACTAGGCTCTCCTTGCTGTGTTGAAGCGTGCGTGCCATTCATCGTGTCGCATCGACTGATTTGCGTTGTGCTCCACTGCGTGTGAGTACAATCGTTCAGAGCCACAATGCGTGCCAGAATGTTGGGGAACCGCTGCGTAGTGAGAACCTGCACGTCGAGACGCAAAAAAAGCGGGGACTGCTTGGCGTTTCAAGCATTTCCAAGCCACGAACCTTAACGCAACCTGTGGGTGGACTTCGTACGAGGCGATGGACAGAGGGACTGGACAGCTGTGAAGAACAGCCGTATTTGCTCCCTTTCACTTTGCGGCGAGCTGCTACAGGGTAAATCCTGTGTTGGCGAACCAGTTGGGTTTGCTGGCAGTACGAGACCTCAATTCGAAGTCGGGGCTATTCCTACCGTGTGACCTGCTGCAGCTGAAAGCAGCGATTCACTTGCCGACCGTCCACGACATGAGGTGCGTAGTTGGTGTTCGTGAGCTCCGACAGTACGGCCGGGACTGATAAATACGTTGCATTTAATGCGGAGCTTGTCAAGCAAGGATCGTCGCGAATCGCGGCGATTCCCAATTCCAAGTCGCTGTCATTATCACTTGCCGATGTTGACCGCGAGGACTGCGAGGACGACGATTTTGGGGACAGAGGCACGTCTACGCCTTCAGAGACACAGCTGTACTGACTGTACGTGCGCTCCTAGCAGACGAAACGTCAGTGTGACGTCACCATTTTTCGTGAAAGTGGCATCAGCTGTGCAGCGGCCTCGAAGTGACCACGAGGTAGCGCTGCCAGCACTACAATTTGGCGGGCTTCCCACCCACTTTGAACCGCGTTCGATAGAGAATATAATAATCAATATTACAGATACTCATTCATCACCCATATGCGTTTTAGGTCGCGAATCAGTTACTAGGGGGTCGATAGATACTCGTTGAGGCAAAAATCTTGACATCAGTAAATTTGATGTCAGTGCTCCTTTAACACAGGCGACAAGTGAAGATGAGCGGCGGCAGCACTGCAAGTTTCGCACCAGCGCATACAGCTGCAGCTGTTCAACTCACGTCAGGAGGCATGCAGCTGTCAAGGAGGTTATACTAAAACTTCTGGAGTGGCGGTTCCGCATAACCCGCCCATGTATCTTAGAGAAGCCGCGGCGACCATATTGCTCAGGGCAAAAGGAGGCGGCGCCTGCCTTGTGGCACCGTAATGCTCTGAACGCTTGTGGCCGCGTGTTTTGTTATAGCGAATAAAGCACATGTTTATTATTCTTAGAAGGCAACAGAACGTAGGAGGAACTTTATTAAATATCTGGTTTTCTTTTTTTGACACTTGGCGTTTTAGGCGTGTTAAAAAAACGCCGGACCTTTGCCGAACGAGCAACACAGTAACAGCGAAAGCTAGAAAATCAGAGCTTTTTCTAAATATTCTTTGCGATACTACAAGCACACTGCTGGGTACCCACAGCGCCATAATTAATCATAAATTTTGTGTAGTAAGCACGCATTCACTACGCTATTCCTCGTCATTCTTTGGAGAGGCGTACGTGGTATCCGCTAGACACTTAGGTATTTCGTCGGAAACTTTGTGCAATTTTTTTATGAAGTGGCTGACGACGATGAAGAAATATGCAGAAAGTGGGTATACGCCAAAGTTAATAGGCGATCAAGAAGAAGTTTTCTTATGGGTTTGAGCGTTGGACCACCCAGTCGTTACGCAATTCGCATCGTGTGATGCCTGCCTGTTCCTTTGATGTTCTAGAACTCTTTATCACTCATATTCACGCGAGTTCTGTCCCGACATCAAGCCTTCTCAAGGCCAGTTGGAAACGAGTTTAAACTAAGCACTGGTGTGGCTCAGTGGTAGAATACTGGGCTGGCACGCAGCGGACTCGGGGTCGAGTCCTATTGTGTAATCGGTGTTTTTTCTTCAGTTTAGAAAGTTCATAGTACTAGCGTAGCTCAGCTGGTAGGATAATGGGAAAGCACGCAGCGGACCCGGGTAGGAATCCCACTGTATCATTTGTGTTCCTTTTAATTTACCGAGATTTTTTTCATTCGATACTGGTTACGGGTGGCAGTGGACAACTAAGGCGCCGCGCGTGACCCATGTTCTGTTCTCATAACAGCTTTCGCTGTAAAAAAAGGTACTCAGAGATATCGATTCGCATTATATGTCTACAAAGTCGCCTCACAGCAGAAGCAATCAGTGAGGACATGCGGCGAAATGTGTCACTCGCGCACAAGCATAAGCCCTTGGCGAATAACAGTGCAGCGTGAGTGCAAACTTTTTATTGTACGGGGGGGGGGGGGGTGAGGTATTCGCCTTTTCACGTACTCTTTGAGAGGCTTCTCGATGCTTCCCAAGCCTAATCCACTGCCCAGCTTTGCAGACCGAATATCTCCCTGGCCCGCGGAAGTCCATCGTATATGGCGTGCACCTGACAATCGACCTTTGGGCTACCACTGTGGTGAAGCCGGACACATGTACCGTGACTGCTACTACTGAAGAACAGGCATGCGCGGATTCCGCCCGGATGCCTGTTGTCCACGCGATGGTCAGCGCCCGTGCGAAATCGAACACTACTTAGGAAGGAGTCACCTTCATCCTGGCCCTCAGCGACCACAGTCACGGTCACCATCAACCAGTCGGTCCACATCGCCAAACCACGTCCGAGCAGCATTTGAGTCCACTGGTGTCAGTGGCTCAAGTCCACGCCAGGGAACTGAGAACGGCGACTTCGGGGGTGAGGCCGCTGTCACGCTAACTGGCAAATATCCTCCGATGCCACCCCCCAATGACGCACCGCTGACACGCCTTTTTCCGTAACCGCTAAAAGAACGTCTGCTGCTATAGCCGTTTCTGTTGACTGCCATCCAGTAACCGCACTCGTCGATACAGGAGCTGATTATTAAGTAATGAGTGCTGCATAAGCCACCGAGCTACGCAAGGTGCTGACAGCGTGGGACGGCCCACAACTGATCGCCGCTGAAGGACACCTCGTGTCACCAATTGGCCGCTGTACTGCAAGACTCGAAATCTGTGCGTCGGCCTTCGTAGCATCTTTCCTTGTGCTGCCCAATTGTTCCCGGCCAGATATATTGGGTATGGATTTTCTTCAGGAGTATGGAGCAGTCATTAATCTGCGAGATTTGTTCGTAACCTTGGCTAACTCTGTTAATACTGATTCGGATGACACGGACGAACATAGGCGTGTGGCGTTACGCGTTGTCGACGACTGCGTAACGTTGCCGCCTCGTAGCAGCATCTTCGTCCTTGTTGATTGCTCACAGGAGCAAGCAAGTACAGGCATTACCGAAGGTAACGTCACCTTACTACTGGGTTGAGAGGTCGCCATGGCTCGTGGTATCGTAGAGCTCTGAAATGGGTGGACTGCGATCTTAGTGACCAACTTCAGAGGTGAATACAAGCATTTGGAAAGGCGTACCACCATAGCCCACCGGGAAACCCTCGACAATTTGAGCACCTGAGCTTCGATTACGACGCACTATATTGATCAAAGCTGTGATGTAGCCTTTACGAACCACATCAACGTTAGTCAACACGTGTAGCAACACAAGCGGTAAAGACTACTCAGCTTGCTGTCATTTTTAGCGACTGTTTCGCCACTCCATTGAAGGCCCAGCAGACTCCGCTAACCAAGCACTGAATCATCACTGATCCAACCGTCGCACCGGTGCGTCAACACGTTTACCGCGTATCACAGCAAGAAGAGGATGCTATTCGTCATCAACTCGAACAAATGCTCGATGGCGACGTCATTTAACTTCAACCAGTCCGTGGGCGCTACCTGTTGTACTGGTTAAGAAGAAATATGGCTTGCTCCGATTCCGCGTGGATTACCGCAAGTTGGACTCCATTATTGATAAAAACGTTTATCCCCTTCCCCGTATCGACGGCTCTTTAGATCGCCTGCGACATTCCCGCTACCTTTCATCGATGAATATTCGTAGCGGGTACTGGCAGATTGAAGTTGACGAACGATACCAGGAAAAAACAGCGTTTACAACCCCTGACGGCCTTTACGAATTCAAGGTCCTCTTTTTTGGGTTATGTTCCGCCCCAGCTACCTTCCAGCGAATGATGAACACAGTGTCAGCTGACTTGAAGTGACATTCGTGTTTAGTGCACACAGACGACGTAGTTGTTGCTTTTTTTCACGACGTTTGAAGAGCACATCAAGCGGCTTCAGGATGTATTTGAGGCCATTCGTACTGCAGGTCTATCCCTGAAGCCGGGAAAGTGCCACTTTGGATACGAGGAGCTATAATTCTTTGGCCATATTGTGAGCAGTAAAGGTATGCGTCCTGAGCCCGGAACATCCACGGCAGTTGCTCTGTTCCCAATGCCGAAGACGAAGCAAGATGTGCGCCGATTCCTAGGCTTTCGTGCGTATCACTGCCGTTTTGTGCCAAATTTTTCTAAAATCGCAGAACCTTTGCAACAGCTGATCAAGGACGACGTCACCTTTACCTAGCGCTCGGCACATTCTGACGT